CTTATGTTGAAACAACCTTAGGAAGTGGAGATTTAAAGAAGATGGGCGCATTTGGCGAGTAATCTGCAGGAATCATTTGAACGAAACATTTATGGTTTAAATGTCCATGATTTGGTTAGCTGAACATAGCTGGTCAGATTTTACAAGCACGTCCATAGTTTTTTTTTTCATTTGGTTTGAAATACCATGTGAAATTGTAGCATTTATGTCCATTTTTACTGTAACATACTAATGTTTAACAAAAAATAAACACCAAAAATATTTAATGCATGGTACATGTACATTATAGAATAGAAGATTAGATTCTGAATTGATTTCGCTCGAGAACAAACAAAACTGAACCAAAATTTATCTAATTCAAAATTTTAATACATAAGCACATAAAATGAAAATGACAAAATGAATGGTTGTTAAATTTGCATGAAAAAAAACACCCCATGCAAGGCTCGAACCAAAAACTTCTCGCTTCGAGTACAGTGAACAGGTAACCCAACTTACTGAGCTGTCACCGCTACACATGTTCCGTTAATTTTAAAAGGAGAAAGAAGCATAACATTCACACATTAGTGATTTTTGGGGAAAAGTTATTTTTTCGTGGTCTAAGGGTCTTCTCTCCATTATTTAAAAAAAGTGTATTCGTTTCTTTGAATTTAAATACACACGAATAACGTTTCAAAATCATGGAGAGAAGACCCAGAGATAGAAAAAAAAAAATAGAAAGACGTGTCTGAAATTGTACCTTTTTGTACCAAATGTCTGATCTTGCCAATATTCAAGTTATTTTTTTAGCTAACCAGAGCTCAATTTCAGGAAAATAATTTCCTTTCCTGTTGCACAGGAACCTGATGAATATTTTTTTTTAAATTTCATTTGACATGTCGAAAAAATTTTCACTTTCAAGTACGCCCAGATTCCTGCCGAATGCCTATCAAAAGCGCCCACGTTCCTTGTTTGAATCATGTCCCCCGGGGGTAGGGCAGAGCCACAGGTAGTGTATATTCAGGTTTCTTCAAATCATGACCCCCGGGGGTAGGGCGGGTCCACAATGTCCGACCAAAGTTTTATATAGAAATATATAGGAAAACACTATAAAAATCTTCTTCTCAAGAGTAGCAAAGCCATAATTAATCGTATCTATATGGATGAATCCTCAGGTAGTGTAGATTCAAGTTTCTTCAAATCATGACCCCCGGGGGTAGGGCGGGGCAAAACTTTTGAAAATAAATTTTTCAATAGTAAACCAATTTCTACTTTTTCCTCGCCACAATTCTCGGATGAGCGATGTGGCCCATGGGCCTTTTGTTTTAAAATCCAAGAGGCATAAATCTGTCAGTAATTGTTTGAAAAAATCAAAGTACTGAAAGCACTCATGGGAGTTGAACACGGTGTAAATAAAATCTTTGATCGGGAGGTTAAGTGAGTGAACAATATTTCATGAATAAATTATTATTATGTCTGTATTTTCAAATACAGACAACTGTTTCACATTTTTTGAGTTGGAACAATCTTGATCGAGAAAGACATTCAGAGACATTAAATAGCAAAAAAATGCATGGGTCATAATGCTTGCCTGCCTACATTAGTCCTTTCGCAGCACAGTTAAGGTTACAGTAAGGGGGCGGGGCCTAATTTGTACGGGAAATGTTTACTATGACGTCACACATAATGTAAGGTCTTCAAAATACCACAAAATGAAATTATCTGCTATTTCAAACAGCTGGATAGCTGTATACTACATACAAACTTACTATTACATGCAGTTTTGTCGTTTGTTAAATCCCCCTTAACAGTATATAAACGATGCATCGATCGCAATGCACTTGTCAATGTGACGTCATCTCGCAAAAATGACGCAGTTTGTACACAGTGAGAGGATGATCAAGTCACATTTTGTACAATGAAAAATGTCTTTGTTCTCAAACAAAATATTATTTGCAGTAAAATAAAAAGCCGTTAACTTGGATGTGATGTCTATTTTATTATTTGATTTATAAACTGTACGTGCATTCTCTAGACAAGCGATATTATCGTGTGTTTGTATGAAGATTCATTGAAAAAGTAACAGACGGGCCCTAATAAATCGATTTATTGCAAGGGCATACCCTTCATGTATCTTGTCAAAATTTTACACATAAACTCAAGAAGCATTAAGATATTTGAAAAGTGCTGCGAACCTCTTGAAATCTGGCAAATAAATTAATTATAGCTTTATTTAATGTAGTTGACCAGCAAAATATTCAACCTGCCGTCGAACAAATTAAATTTTATCAATTAAAAAAGGGAATCTATATAGGTTCGCAGCACTTTTCGCAAACAACATATAGTGTTGAAAAGGTTTATAAATTAAACTAAGATTTTTAACTTGGTTAAGCCCTTGCAATATTGAAATTTATAGATGACCTCTAAACTACAAGTATAATTGCCAAAGTCATGTGACGTCGACATCACATGACAAGTCTAAATAAAAAATCTAACTCTCCCCAACATGTAGATTTAACCACATTACATTTTTTTGATACCAGTGAATTTCTTAAAAGAATCGCCCATCCTAATAAAGTATGTATTTTTTATCTTATAAAAATCGCAGATATTTCCATTTGTAACCTTAACTTGCTGCGTTTTCACACCCCCTGCTTGAAAAGCGGGAGGGAATTTATGAATCATGATATCTGTCCATCTGTTTGTTACACTTTAGGTATACCCATCTCTTATCCGCAATTCCTCTAACACCACTGAACAAACTTTTCATAGAATCTTTATTACATATTGCCGTTGTGCTTCTATTACTTTTTCATCCTACACATATTTTGGGTTTCCCATTGCAAAACATGCACACTGCCATTATATTCATATTTAGAGGCGGTTGATTTTTTATATCACTGCTCACAGTCTTCAAATTTGTATTATTTTTTTGCTTTACACCTTTACTCATGTGTTATGAAAATTTCAGTTTCGCAGGAATAATATCAATGTTGATAAAATGTGTATTTTAACACAGCATCCTTTTAAGAGCTAACAGGTTTGTTATATAAAACTTCTCAGTGGATAAAAATATATTTCAATTACACGAACATTATACCTGGAGTACGTAAGAACTTAGTCTTTTTTAATATTGTGAAGAAAAGAGCAATACCAAGTTAAAAACAAATATTTATTGACAAAACATAAAAACAGTGGTATATGCGAGAGTTTGTGTGCGTAAAAATTATCTGGCATGTAAATGAGGTTTTTCTTTTATCAAAAATATATACTTCATTTTGTTGTTTTTAATCGCGATTTTAAGAAAACGTCGGTGTCCGTTTCTGGTTTTAAAATTTATAACAGAGAAATAGGTTTTCCCGCTTTTGGCAGATGATACTGCTGATTAAGTAAAAATACGCATGTTTCATAAAGTTTTTATGCATTAACGAATTCAATTAAACCAAGAAAATGTTCATGAATAGTTTGAATATGACTAAGTTTAACGTTTGCCGTCAGTATGTAGAGTTGTCGTTCGTATCTCTTTCAGTGTATGACGCTACACTAAAAATGAGATCCATAACGAAAAACTTTCATGATTCTTTATAATTAAGTTTAACATATGTACTTTGAACGAATTCTAATAATCAAAATAAGAGTACCTTATCATTACATTTACTTACATTATGGAAATTAGATTAATTCAGGAGAAAATGATATGAACTATTAGTCGCGGATGTTTATGCATGTTTTCTGTTGAATATCATCGGAGTAAATCAGCCGACACAGTAGCCTCGCTTTCGTCTCTATGTGATCAACACAAATTACTGCGCATGTTAAATACGTGATGACCATGGGAGATTGAACATAGGTCAACTCCCAAAAACGGACGAAATCCGTGGACAATGCCGTGTATAAATGATGGTTCAGCAATCAGTAAGAAAAAAAGTCAGTCATTTCATTTAATGAGATATTTTCTGACACATAAACACAAAATATAAAACTGTACCTGTATAAAGTATTACCTTAAAAATATATTTACATGTTCTATATCAAACGCAAACAAAACTTGCATATTTCACAATTATTTATGCCAGATTATTGCATAATCTTAGATTTTAAATTCAATTGTAACTCGTGCTATCAATTTAGATGTATAATTTTTATGTTAACTCAATTAAAAAAAATTGCACAACAGATATATTTTCAACATTCCTTCTTCCTTTCTTAAAAAAAGGGAATACACTATCCTAAATTACAAACAATAAACAATACATAATATAAAACAAAGCACTATAAACCAAATAAAACAAACAAAATTAATACACACATTTTGAAGTTCAGAAAGGAAGAAAAAACACTGATCTCGACAAATTTAAAATATGAAATAAAAAAAAAATGTTTTGGTGATATGATTTTTTACTTCATAAAATCTTTGCGTATCTTCATCAACGAATTGATATACATGGGTTGAAAAGCACATGTCCGTCAAGATGTGTACATAATAAGGAATACTTGAAATTTATTTCCCATGAACATATAATCTTTATACAATAAACGATAATTGGTCCAAACGAATTCTGATTAATCCAGTGCATATTATTGTTCGTTGTTAACATTACGGCTCGAACTCAAGTGTTGCCCGTATCGAATTAAGATAAATAAAGCCCTTAATTACATTCAAATAAATTATTATTCCCCATCTCACAGAAAATATTGATTAAATATTGCAGAAATACCGAGTAATTGCATATATTAATATTAAATAACAGACGTCATGCCTCCTTCCTGACCATAATAAAAAGAATTTATGTAGCAGCAAGACTTTGCTATCTAAAAACAAGAAGTTTTATTAAACTGGAGTTTTTATAACATACACCTTTGATTAGTAAGCCTTATGACATAAAAGTGTAAGTAAGCTTAATAAATTTAATACTGTTAATACTTTTTATTCGAAAAAACCTTATTTTGTGTCTACCTGCAAAAAATTAACTTTTGCATATTACATTTATTTTTCCGCTTTTAAATTAAAAACACCCATATCGTAATAAATACATTGTCACAGACAAAATGTCGATTTACGGTAATCACTTAAATTTAACAATAATTTTAAAAAGTTCAATGTTCACAATGTTTTAAAAACGCTATTAATCTGTGAACAGAATATAAAACACTGACCACCAGGAACTCCAGGGATAGAATCAGATACCACAGAGAAGTAAAGATCCCCTTTTGATCCGCCACACTTGACCTGAAAACTATGTAGTGATCCGGTATACAAAGGGAACGTTCTTTTGTCAAATTAAGTACAAAAACACTTGGTACAAAACATGTCTGGCAAAATTAGCTCTAATGAAATTTTATATTTGCTAAAAATGCCAAAAACAGAGTTTTAGGATTAATCCCGATATGAAGAGAATTGGAAGATTCTTTGGGGGCTTCTATCTTAAGTTCACTAGGATATGGCGAGACGACATACAGAAAATGTGTGAATAAAAGTATCTATTGGTAGTTGATAATACGTCTTTGATACAATGGAATACCGAACTGAAGGCCACTGCAAGTGTTTTCTTCTTCCCACGTGAAATTATTTGAATAAATGCGGTAAATTCCTTGTGAAAGCATCACGCTTAATTTCTTTTGCAAGCTATAATAAAAGTCCAAATCAACGTTTGCTCCATATCTCAGAACTAATGTGAACGCACTTGGTATTGAAAAACCACTGCATCCATCGTCAGAATAAAAACTGAGCACCATACTGTAGTGAAAGTTCAGTGATACTGTCATGACCATATAAGTATGATATGTACAATGGACTCTTATTGTCTTTATTGCATAAATTAAAGCAAGTATAATTTATCAATAATAATTGGACCGTGCTGTAATATCCATTTTCACAGGCTATGTAGAGTGGACTAGTTCCTTCGTTAAAAAGTTTAACCATGCTGACCATTGGAACATGCTATGTACAGTAGACTGCAGTTTCTTTTATTGCAAAAATTTACAACAGAACCTGAATTTAAAAGAAGTTCGATGGTTCAGCAATGTGAGTTTTTAAAAGCTCTCCAAAGACTACTGCTTCGACCTTTATCACATAAATAAATGTCAGCATGTAAGCTATCAAGAGAGATCAAGATCCGATTTGGAATATAAGTTGATGTCGGCACCGTTGTTCAGCAACAGTTGTACCGTTCTATCATGTTTATTTTGACAAGCGATATAAAGAGGACTAAATTCATCTTCATCACATGAATTGATGTTGGCACCATTGTTCAGTAACAGTTGTACAATGCTATCATGTCCATTTTCACATGTTATATAAAGAGGACTGAATCCATCATTATCACATAAATTGATGTCTGCACCTTTGTTCAGTAACAGTTGTACAGTGTTATCATGTCCATTTTGACAAGCTATATAAAGAGGGCTGACTCCATTCTTGTGACATAAATTGATGTCAGCACCGTTGTTCAGTAACAGTTGTACTGTGCTATCATGTCCATTTTGACAAGCTATATAAAGAGGAATGGCTCCATTCTTTTTACATAAATTGATGTTGGCACCATTGTTCAGTAAAACTTGTACCGTGTTATCATGTCCATCAAAACAAGCTATATAAACAGGACATGCTCCATTCTTCTCACATAAATTGATGTCGGCACCGTTGTTCAGTAACAGTTGTATCGTGCTATTATGTCCATTTTGACAGGCTATATAAAGAGGACTGGCTCCATCACTCTTAAATAAATTGATGTCGGCACCGTTGTTCAGTAACATTTGTATCGTGCTATTATGTCCATTTTGACAGGCTATATAAAGAGGACTGGCTCCATTCTTCTCACATAAATTGATGTCGGCATTGTTGTTCAGTAAAAATTGTACCGTGCTATGATGTCCATCATAACAAGCTATATAAAGAGGACTGGCTCCATCACCATCACATAAATTAATGTCGGCACCGTTGTTCAGTAACAGTTGTACCATGCTATCATGTCCATTTTGACAAGCTATATAAAGAGGACTGGTCCCGTTCTTTTTGCATAAATTGATATCGGCACCGTTGTTCAGTAACAGTTGTACCGTGTTATCATGTCCTTGATGACAAGCTATATAAAGAGGACTGTCTCCATCACTATCACATAAATTGATGTCGGCACCGTTGTTCAGTAACAGTTGTACCGTGCTATCATGTCCTTTGAGACAAGCTATATAAAGAGGACTGACTCCATTCTTGTTACATAAATTGATGTCGGTACCGTTGTTCAGTAACAGTTGTACCGTGCTATCATGTCCTTTGAGACAAGCTCTATGTAGAGGACTGAATCCATTCTTGTTACATAAATTGATGTTTGCACCGTTGTTCAGTAACAGTTGTACCGTGCTATCATGTCCATCATAACAAGCTATATGAAGAGGACTGGCTCCATCACTCTCACCTAAATTGATGTCGGCACCGTTGTTCAGTAACAGTTGTACCGTGCTATCATGTCCTTTGAGACAAGCTCTATGTAGAGGACTGAATCCATTCTTGTTACATAAATTGATGTCGGCACCGTTGTTCAGTAACAGTTGTAACGTGCTATCATGTCCATTTTGACAGGCTATATAAAGAGGACTGGCTCCATCACTCTTACCTAAATTGATGTCGGCACCGTTGTTCACTAACAGTTGTACCGTGCTATCATGTCCATTTTCACAAGCTACATGAAGAGGACTGGCTCCATTTTTCTGACATAAATTGATGTCGGTACCGTTGTTCAGTAACAATTGTACCGTGCTATCATGTCCATTTTCACAAGCTATATAAAGAGGACTGACTCCATGATTATCACATAAATTGATGTCTGCACCGTTGTTCAGTAACAGTTGTACCGTGCTATCATGTCCATCATAACAAGCTATATAAAGAGGACTGTCTCCATCATTTATACATATATTGATGTCGGCACCATTGTTCAGTAACAGTTGTACCGTGCTATCATGTCCATTTTGACAAGCTCTTATAAGAGGACTGGTCCCATTCTTTTTGCATAAATTGATATCGGCACCGTTGTTCAGTAACAGCTGTACCGTGCTATCATGTCCATTGAGACAAGCTATATAAAGAGGACTGATTCCATCATCATCACATAAGTTGATATCGGCACTGTTGTCCAGTAACAATTGAACCGTACTATCATGTCCTTTGAGACAAGCTATACAAAGAGGACTGCATCCATCATTATCACATAACTTGATGTCGGCGCCGTTGTCCAGTAGCAGTTGTACCGTGGTATTACGTCCTCTATAACAAGCCATGCAAAGAGTTCTGTCTCCATTCTCATTATCACATAAATAGGCTTTATCGCCGTTGTTCAATAAGCAAATAATTCTATTATTACGTCTTTCTCCAGTTTGTATATCGATTCCGGCCTCTTTAATATGATCTTCGTCATTTGCAGCAGCAAGGAATAACGGAGTACATATGTCACTAGTTGTAAACTTGTTCACGTCAGCACCAAGTCTTATTAATTCCTCTATTATTGAAAAATTATGAAAAACCGAAGCTATATGAATTGGAAACAAGTCATCCCATCTTTCCATCATTGCTGCTTTTTTATATTCTTCGCTGAGAGAATTTAGTAGGTTTAAATCGCCATTAGCACATTTAGCAGAGAAAATGTGATGTTCTTTCAACTTTGTTTCAGGGATACTTTTTATGTAAAATGAAGAAATGTCAGAATGACAGAATACAATAAGTCCGACTAAAGGACATATTTCACTTTCAAATGAATAAAGGAAATCAAGTCGTGTGAAAAACGATCTTTCAAATAATGTTTGAAATTTCGATCTGTCTTTTTCACATTTAATTTTCACAAGAAGTTTTTCGAGCGAATTCAATTTTTCCTTAAAAGAATTAATCAAACTCTCTTTCCTTAAACACGGATTGAGTAGAACATCTATAATATGCTTTGTTTGTATGTCAGTAATAAACCTGTCGACAAGATCATCAATGTACTCTACAGGAAGGTAAACAGTGAAGGGATCGCGATCTTCCTCTTCTGTATCGTCTTCTATCTTCACTCGACGTCTCAGAAAGCTACTGTCCGCGTACTGTATTGTCTCCTGTGGACAATCAACACCAAACACCAGAGTTGTTATCTCCATAATAAAGTCGTGAAGGAATTGGAAAACATGTCCGACACATTTGACGTAAGATCCTTTCAGTTCATGGAGAGTACTACGAATGACTGAAATATGTGTATTTTCTTGTATCTCACACATTCCTAAAATGTCCTTAAATTTCATTAAAGAAATATCACTTTTTACAATAGTATCGATTTTCAAATTGTTTTTGAACGCTACTATCAAGATAAGTGAGCAAAATCTTTTCTTGTCTGTTTTCTTCCAAATTTCTAATTCCTTTTTAATAAATCTGTACGGATTTTTAAAGAAATCAACCCCCTTTTCTTTGTACTTTGCCTCCCTCGAAAAAAGCTTACAAAGCAATGGAAAGTAAGCTTCTGTTTTAACTATTTCAGTAACAACCTCCTCGGATAATTTCAGATTCTGTGCATACTGATTTAAAATCGCTTTTTTCTCTTTAACAGTCAGTCCATTTTCTTCGCTGTCAATTTCTACTGCAGTGGATTCATCCAATAAATTACCTTTGACTCTCTTGTCATAAAAGACGCATCTTCTACATGATATCAATAATTTCTTTTTCTTCAAGCAAATTTCCAGTGTTTTCTCTAAACTCCTCCATGAATGATATAAAATCTCATCTAACGATTCCTTACCTAAAGGATCATTAAATACAAATAAAATCCGATTTTCTGAGACTCTGGTTGAACAGTTCTTTTTAATTTCTTTCACCTTTTCCACCGGTATGACATTCCATCCCTGCTCTTTATACTTGAGTGCGATATGTTGAATTATTGCAGATTTTCCAGAACCAGAATTTCCAACCACTGTGATAAGGTTAAGACTTTTAAGCTTTTCTTGAACCGCTTCACATGCTCTTGTAGGAATAAAGGCAATATCGTCTTCTTGCCAGTTGTTGAGAATTTCTTTTACCAGTGTGTTTTCTGAAACAGATATGTTTTTAAGATAATAAGTATAAAAAACAGAAAATAAGAAAGTGTTAAATCAAACTGTATTTTTTGGTAAAACTGTATAATTGTCCACTATGTTTGTTCTTTTAAATTCATCTGAATCTGAATTATTGTAGAAATAAAAAGGTATAAATGGAAAGGATTCTCATGCCATAAAATAGAAAAAAAAATAGGAGTATGGATTTATTATCTAATGCAAACAAAATAATATGAAATTCCATTGCAGGTAAGTTATTTTTAGATATCTTATGGTAATTTAAATGTTTTACATAGACAGAAATGCAGTTAATCGGCCTATTATGCTTAAATTTTGAATTCAATTTGGGAAAATATTAGTTAACTTACAAGCATGATAAATTTGCTCTTTTTTCTCTCTAGTTAATTTAAAAATATACAACAAGAGAAACAGATAAATGCGTGGTCAGGGAAAAGTTAACATCCACCACTTTTGATGAATGCATCGCTGTGAATGTTTGTTATAGTCACCTTTGTCTTCGGATTTTCTTTTCAATTCTTGCAAACCCTGTTCCACAGAAGATAGCTTCACCATTAAAGACTGGTTATTCTTATAATATTCCCTGAGTTTTTCTATGACTGTTGTTTCGTACTCCTCTTCTAGGGCCTGACTTTGAATATTATTCAGTCCAGCCACGTAGTCTTTCTTTGTGTACGTTTGCAGTCTTTGGCAGATATCAGTTATGACTGACCACGTGTCATCAAACTCTGTCTGTGAGGTGGACGCCGAGCTTATGTGTCCAAACATAGAGTTTCTTATCATCCTAATCCTCTCAATATCATCACCTATCGTTGTTTCTCCTACTGACGGCATTGTGTTCCCACCCCAACCTTTTGTTGGACGTGGAATCTTTGTACATATATTTCTTATCACTGTATATAACAATGTAATATCAAATTCTTTATAACCATTTGTTTTGGCGCCTATAAGACAAAGTTCTTGTTCAGGGCGTATTTTCGTATAAATTGATGATGCTTTCACTTTGTTCTGGACAAGACCAGGAGGTACCTCCATTTCTAAGACATCTCTACAGGCCTGGGTCAGTTCTTCGTTTATTACCATTCCGAGTTTAGCAAACCTAGAACGGCCGCCAGGGTCTGGTCCAGAGGTCATTCTTTTGATTTCTAGATGATCACTTCACAATCTGAAATTTTTGAATTGATCATTCAATTTTTCATTAAGTCATAAGTCCTGACAAACAACACCCGAATAAATTTTATTGATACGTTATAGCAAACTTTGTTTCTCTTTGAAAAATAAAAAAAAAAAACCTTTAAACGATTAAAAAATAAAGTGCATCCATTGATAAGAGTACCAGTATCATACATATATCGAATTGTTTATAAAGCATCCAAGTCCAAGAGGCAGGATATAGTCATAAAGAATTTGTCATTCAAATAATACTTTTCATTACCAAGGATACACAGTGGACCTTCAGATATATGGACCCAATATATATGCATGCTTTAGTATCTGGACGATTTTTCAACGAAACGGAATTTTTTAAAACTTTATTGTTTTTTGTTTAAAGGCAGAGATTATTTACCGGGTGGTTAATTCCAGTTGAGATAGGGGCTTATTTTGTACAGGTGTGAAAGCCTTGGGGGCTAGCATCTGTCTCATAATCCCTATACACAGGAAGTATTTAATACACAGTGAAATACCCAGGTGTCAAACCTAACTTGTGTTGGTGATTTTAATAGAATTTTAAAATACATAGAAGTGAAAGTTGTTTTTCTTATCAATTATTTATAGATTTATTTTTGACTGCTTGAAAAACACTTATACCCATTTAAACTAGAGGTACTGTGAGCAATGAGCTCACTAAATGATACCCCCCGCCTCCCATATGAATGAAATGGCAGTGTCCATGTTTTGCTCTGTAAAATCCGAAATATATGTCGGATCAAAATATAAAATAGGAGGTGTACAATGGCAATATGTAATAAAGATTCTCTGAAAATTTCATTAAATTTCCCTCAGTGGTATGAGAGGAGTTGCGGATAAGAGATGGGTACCCCAAAGCGTAACAGACGGACGGACAGACAGACGGTCGGACGTACAGACAGACGGACGGACGGACGGACGGACATACACATTACTATATACCCTCCCGCTTTTCAAGCGGGGGGTATAAAAAGATTTGATATTATACAAGAAATTCAAGTATTAAGATAAAAATTGTTTTAGACATTAATGCAAAGCCATAAAATAAGGGGAAAGCAACTTTTGTATTAACAACCAAATTAGAAATTAAAATTAATACCTTTATCCCGAGGATCCCATATATGAATTCAATGAAAAAGAGAGCTGTGTTAACTACATCTCACTAAAAAAAATATTTAGATTTATTCTAACCTTGATAAAGCTTTATCACCATGAAACATGCTAAAAGGAATGATAATCATTGTACTTTTTCTTTAAATGCATACTATATCATAATCCTTTCAAATACGAAAGGTATATCTAATTTATATATTATCAATATTTGAGCCTCGTCGGATAGAAATCGACCTTATCTTATGCAACGTCATAATGAGAAATAAACGAATTAAGTTAAGAAAGATTTCCCGGTATTTTTACTACACATGGTTTTCACGTTAAGGAATTTTTTAGACATCGTCAACTACAGTTCAAAGATTTTGTCTTTAAAAATCAGATCATTTTAAATATGTACTAAGAAAATAAGCAAATTTTAAATGTATTTCCCTTCGTAGAGCCTTAACTTCTTTATTGTTACCATGGATCAATGTAAACACAGGCCAGAGGAATGCCGAGTCCGATCTACATTTTTTTTTTTCAAGCAGCAGAAGACGTGAGGTTTAATCTAACACCAGTTAAAGATTAAGTTGGTAGACATATAGCAAAGCAAAATTGGCATGGTGCATTACTGAGGAAGTACAGTATATATCTTTTGTTGTAGTTCAGAGTGTAAATTTTAGCCAATAGAGGCGTATCTGGCACAGAAAATCGCACATACATGTACAGATGCAGTACGTACTATACTACTAGGCCTAGTGTGTTAACTTCATTTACTATCACCGTGTGTATTCCATCACTCAAGATTAATATATTCACAATATTATATTAGATATACTATAATATTTCATGTCGTCGAATGAATTTACGTGTAATGATTATGTCAAATTTATATAGGAATAAACCAACCAAAACAAAAACATTAGACCATTCCCAGTACAATATGTACAAAGGCCACGATTCATTAACTTTCAAAACGCATTTTTCTAACAACAATATTCAAAGAATTATCAGGAAACAAGTAATACTGGTACTGTGTAAGGCAATTTCTTCCTCAAACGGAAACAGTCGTAGACTTTTTACAGTACATTTTCCGAAGCGACTGGATTCGATATATTGCGCAAGTTGCTTCCCTTCGACGCAAAAAAGAGGGTCAACATGGGGGAATCATTTCCTTAAAAAGTTTTTTTTCTCTCTCTCTCTATCTTTTTTCTCTCTTCCATTTCTTACAGTTTATCAGTTTATTTTCTTAAATTTTGCAAGTTTATAAAATATACCGACAATGGATTATCTGTTATTTTAATTTTCTTTTACTTGGCTGGCGAAACTGTTCAAAGAGGGGCACCTATATATTGTGTGTATCATCTTGACCTTGTAGGGAGAGGGCTAAAACGGGATTTGCTGCCCAATCCCGTTCACTTTGTGTGAATAAAATTTTGTATAAATATAAAAAAAAGATGGGCCCGGTTTGTGAAACATATCCTTCTACGTCATTAATATTAAAAGAACGTATTAACTGTAAACCAAAATATTTACTTTAAAGTCGGATGTAAAAAAAAAAAAAAAAAAAAAAAACAATAGCTTTGTGAAATGTGTTCTTAAATATTCACCATAATGTTAAGTATTTTGAGCCCGTTAATACCAAACTTTTCTGCTAAAAAAATTGAAATGAGCAGGATTTCACGTGTTCGTGATTCGTGGATAAACAGGAATATAGTTTCGCTTTGTACAAGTACTTTCACATTATAACATCAAAAAGTTCTCTATATGTACATCATAAAATTCTTACACAATTCTCTTTTTTCAAGAGAGGGGGATACATACAACTGATACCCGTAACTTCTAAATCTCAAATATTTTCTTATTTGATTTTTTTATTTAAAAAAAAATCAGAATACAAATAATTATGAAATGTTTATTTTACGTAATATTGTGTCCGACTGGGTTAGGAACGGGAAAGCAGAATGTTGCCTAGATGCATACATGTATGCCGAGTGCCTTCATAAATATTTATTTTTTCTCTCTAGAGAGGAGAGTTCATGTTTTTTTTTTCTCCATTATTTTTTTTTCGGGGGGGGGGGGGGACTTCTAAAGTCAGCACATACATAAGGCTTCCTTGCTGGCTAAATATGATATAATGTATTTTAGAATCCTACGCACCCCAGCTGAATCCGACTATATATCTAATTCATAGCATTAATTATCCTTTTTAACTGATTTAATTTAACTGCATTTCCTAATAAAATATTTATTAAGAAATTTTCAATACAGTCTACATAATCAATTCTTTTTTAAACATTCAGTTTGTTTGCAATAATTGAATTATAAAAGAAAGAAAATGTGCCACATGGATTTATATCGTAATTCAACATAGCCTGTGTTTTTGTTTTTCTTTCCCTCAATATATTTCTGATACTCCAGTTAACAAAGAAATTATAATTTTTGCATTTCTGAAATTCATATTAATCTCTTCATTTTTTTCTGTTGATCTAAGATATTTTGTAAACTTTATGTTAATTCTCTTTTTCAAATGCATTGTTATCATTGTTGTGATGAGAAAAAATGAGATCACCCTTGGCTATCCGATGATGATACACTATATGCTATAAAAACATCATCTGACTTCCGCCTAAAACGTATGCATATTTATTGAATCGAGAATTTCGGCCAATGTGTATACATGTTTCCCGTGACTTTTCGCTACATGTAACTACTGTATAAATAATAATCTTTTAAAATTAGCTGACTTTTCTCATATACGAAGTAAATAATGTACGATCGATGCATTATTGTTTTATTTTACAATATTATAGACTTAAGAGAATTTTAAATTATTTACATCAAATTGATTTTTAAGGTAAAGTTAGGTACATTATGAGATATTTTGTTGATGGACACAGTGAGAAATCTTTTTAAATGGTTTACAATTTTTTTGAAAGAATCAGGGGCAGTAAGCATATATGAGCTGCCCAATATTTAAAAAAAAAAAAAAAACAGTGTTATCGTTAATATGGTTTATTTTTCATATAACGAGATGTCAAGTTTGATGTAAATAGCAATAAAATTTTCAACATTTGATTTGTAGTTGAGTTATCACGATGTGAAGTTGTGTGATTTTTCCGGAATTGAGAAATTTCCATCAAATTCTCACATTCAAAACAAGATTTAGATATGGCCGCACGCAAACAACACGATAAAAATTTGATAAATTGTTTAAAATGGCACAATAAATTATTTCCCAAAGTATCATTCTGTTGTTTGCATGCGGCCACCATGAAAAATACATAAAACGATGTTTTTCGAGGCGCGATTTTGATCGCTTCCGGTTTCGGTTTTATATTCAAATGACAGCAGCAGACGTAAACAAAGTTGGATGTCGGACTCAGTCAAAATGGACAATGTCACGAATGTGACATTAGATTTATTTAACCATTTAGCAGGTAGGGATGAATTGAAAATCAGAGTAATTTTCATTTTGCATGCTCTATTTACATGCATCGCTCAAAATTAAATCCCCTCCCAAACATATTATTGATAAAAGATTTGACATGACAGACTCCGCTAACTCCATGAACTCTGGGGGACGATAATCATGTCAAACAGTAGTATCTAAAATATATTAATCAGGAACACAGCTATCTTCTTTTAGAAAAAAATAGATTATAAAGAGTTGACTTAATCATCGATTCTCTTTGATTTAGGGCCTAATGTTCATGATTCATGAACCCTCGATCGGCCGGTTGATCTGCATGATTAGTCGCGTTTTATCAGTTGTGAAAATCTTTACATATACGGAAAATGTACATGTATAAGTGCATCTAGTATGTATAGCATCCATGTAACTTGCCATTTTGTCATCCTATATTCTGGTTAAATGTACGCACAAGCTGTAGGGGCATGTAGCTGTAGACGTAGTATGCCGGGATCTCTGATCGAGTGATGGTCAGCTGAAGTGATACTTAGGTAATCGGGCAAGAACGTTTTTATATCACTTTCAATCGATTTGGCATTAAAATATAACTATATTTTTTGGCCTTTTTTGTCAAATTCATGTTCAGTGTTTTATCAAGAAATTTTGCTCAACATATTTTTCTGTTTGAGTACAAAATGCAAGTAAAGCGAGTCTAGAGCGTTTACAAGTGCACAATAGCTATGTAGGTAGAAATAGTCTTTGGACTGGGCCTTTCCGACTTTTAGCGGAAAAATCTTTACATATATGGAAAATGTACAGGTATACGCCATTACAACTCCCCCTTTTGTCACCTATCTTTGAAATGTACGCAATGCATGGAGACCTTTCATCTGCGGAATATGGAGTTCAACTTTATTCAATGTAATGATATTACCTAAAATATACCATAGAAGGTTTTTATATATCACTGCGTCTACACTATATTTGAACAAATAGGAAGATGTATAAATTTTTAACATCCGGTGATGTTAAACATGCCAGGTTGTTTTTCCTCCTCTACAAATACAACCGAGATGATGCGATTGACAAGTGCATTCAATAATTCAAGGGACTTTACTCTGGTACCTGTGCAAATGTATGGTGTGCCATAACAGTCAAAAACATAAAAAAAAAATGGTACGAGGTTTTTTTTTTTTTTTTTTTGTTTCTTTTTTCTTTTTTTTTTTATTAAAACGAAATTTAAAAAGTTAAGTTTCTTTAAAACTAGCTAATATCACTAAATCTAATTGATGTTCTTTGAAGAATGAATAATGTAAATTCTATTTTTCTTGTGGGGACAATGTATTTTTTAAAACCAATTAATTAAAATATTATTAATGTAAAATTAACCTTTTGTAAGTAATAAAAAAAAATAATTAGATTACCTTGGAATATTATAAAGTAATTGAAATCACCATTTAAATAAAACAAAAATGTTTGTCATTACATTTTTTTTTTGTTTTAATTTAGATTACTCAATAATGCCTTTGCCTCTGAGTTTTATTCATTAAACTCAAATAGGTAAATCAATAATACTGCTATTTAAATTGATTTCAAGAATGAATTAATTATATATTTAACATAGCTGGTAACATTAACCCTGTATTTATTAGTTAAAAATATTATTAGTATACTATATATGCATTATACATTAATCCTTCCATAATTATTGACAAAATGTTATACATGGTAATATTGGTATTTGTGGACAGGAACCCCCCACCCATCCCCACCCCGATATTCAACCCTGGGGCTTATTTGACATTTTTTTCACAATTTATATTTAGTACACTTCTTTAACTTTTAATTGCTTCTTTCATATATAAACCCCAAAATTTTGCTGCAAAAAAATAAAATACCCCACTATACATTATAAGAGAGATCCTTATAATTGGGGACAACATTTGCATACCTGTGAATATATATAGTAATTTAATTTTGATATTAATATTTAAATTGTAGAATGCCTGGAGATGGCCCAAAGCAACATCCTTGTATATCTTGTGGGAAAAGAACCAAAGCTGATCAAAGACGTTTCATTAAGCCTGGATCTTCTGAATCGTACAAACTATACCTTCAACATTTGGGACTTTCTGTTAATTGTGAAAACTATGTATATGTTACATGCCTGAACTGTTATACAAAATTCTACAAGTCCACAAAGAAAACTTCAAAAGAAACAGAGCAAGATTATGAACCACCGGCAAAGTCTCTGAAATCAGATGTCAAAAGTCCGAAACATTATTCCATTGCCCATAGTTTCTTCAGGAAAAAGTCACTCATCCTGTGTCATATGCAAGAAGAGGACATCAAGGTCCCTCACCCTGTCTGCAGAGAGACGTCATCATATATTCATTTTATCAGGACACCTTCTGCTGTCGGGTGCACGGTGCTGCCGGTCCTACTTAGCACCAGACTTTTCTCTGAGAGACGATGCTATCAGATGTCTGGAGAACTCATCTTCTGGTTCCAGGTCGGTACATGACACCACCTACTTCAACAAAACAGACATTTTTTCTTTGATTTCAACAATAAGAGCAGCAGCAATTAGAAATAAGAAAAACAGATTAGACTTTGACAGCAGCGATGGCCTTTCTGATGAAGATTATGTGAATTTAACAGGAATTTCCAGAGCAGATTTTGACGATGTGGTGTCGCATGTGCAGTCGATTAGAGCTACGAAGAATCGCAGCATCAGAGCCTGTATTGCTCTTCTACTGGTGAAACTACGGACTGGTCTTTCCCATCGAATGCTATCAACACTCTTCAACATTGAAAAATGTGGTGTCAGAAGGGCAATAACAACAGCCAGGAGAGAACTTTCTGAGACTTTTACTCCTAAATATGTGGGATTTGACCATATCTCAAGGGAAGAGATTATCCAGGATCACACGACGCAACTTGCGAAGGAGCTGTTTGGCAGTGATCTACACAATCCAGCTATTTTAGTCGTGGACGGAACCTACGTTTTTATCCAAAAAGTAGTAACTTCAGGTTCCAGCGCAGGTCGTACAGCCAGCACAAAAACCGACCTCTAGTCAAGCCAATGGTTATAGTGTCTACGACCGGCTACATAATATCAGTCCTTGGACCATATTTTGCAGACCAGAAAAACAACGATGCGAGCATCCTGAAGCACAACATTCAGTCCAACATGGAGAACATCAAAGATTGGCTGCATCAGGAGGATGTCCTCTTAGTCGACCGTGGCTTCAGAGACTCAATCAGTTTCCTTGACAGCTTGGGAGTCAGATGCCAGGTGCCCGCCTTTCTTCCAAAGGGCCAGAAACAACACACAACCAATTTAAAACTCTTTTTTTAATCAAAATTAAAAGAAAAAAAAAGCTTATAATTATTTATATTTCAATCTTATACACTGTTATAGTATATTAATAATAAAAGTCAGTAATAATTGACATGCTCACAATGTAAACACTTAATTAAGAGTAATTACATTTTTTGTACCCAAGTTTACAATGTATATATATTTTTTAATGTGTTTTGCAGGCCAATACTTCGAGACTGGTCACCAAAATCCGTTGGATTGTTGAGTCGGTAAATGGACGACTGAAACAGTGGAAGTTTTTGCAAAATGTTGTCCCGAATACCCAGATACCCTTCATCAGGGATTATGTGTGCTTGGTTGCAGCTCTCTGTAATAAGTACAGACAACCCTTAAATGCTGGAAACCCAGAAAATGATGTGATTTTAGCCGCTAAAATGAAGGTAAGGACATGCCAGTATTTGTTTCATTCCTTTTTTGTGAATTAATTAATGTATACAAATTGTAATAATTAATTTAAAATCTCTATTAAATTATAAGAAATATTGTGTCAAGTAATTTTTATTGTATTCATTTTAACTTTCCATTATTTTACTCAGTGGAAAAATTCATTGTTCATGTATTTTTATGTTCATGTGTTTTAGCTATGCCAGTATAAACTACTGTACATATGTCTTATATTGAATTTTTCATTACACTTGTGTCCAAAGTAATATTGAATTTTTCATTACACTCGTGTCCAAAGTTCAATAACGTTTTTTTTTTTGTTTATTAATTTATGCATGTATTAATAGCTCATATGTGATTAAATTGAAATCTTAAGTAAAAAAAAAATTTCTCTTATATAGTACTTAGCCTCTCAGACAAACAAACTTCAGGAGAGAGTGGAGTCTGAAGGACTACACAGAAGAGTCAAGTCATGGACCCCAATCAATGCTGCTGATTCATTGGACTTTCCATGTCTCTCAGAGGAGGATCTGTGTAATTTGACTATTGGTGTTTACCAGTTAAAGCTGGCTAAGGGGTACACTGCTCAGCACATGGATGAAGAAGGTGATTATGTCATCATGGTAAATGCTGATATTCCTGATGTTCTGCGGATAAGGATCCAGAGTCGACATATTTCAAGTAAACAATACCTTCTTTGGATAGAGCACTCAGAGGGAGCTGTTACTGGTTGGTATTGCCAGTGTCGTGCTGGAGCAAGAATTGTCGGGGCATGTGCCCATGTGGCCTCAGTTTTGTGGTTTCTCGGCTACGAGAGACACAATAACTTTGCAGTGAGACCATACTCAAGACTGGGCTGACTATCTTGAGGATGCAGCTGTGCTTCCTGACTCCTCAGAAAGTGATATGAGCGCCACTGAAGAGTGACAAGAATTGTGCCATTGATTTATATCCACTACATCATATTACAAGTTGTAAATATTGAAAGATTAATTATGTACCTTGGCAAATGAAATGATTTGTTATTATCATTTGATTACACTTCATGAATTATTGTTATCAAAATTAATATACTGATGTAAAATTCATAATGCATCACAAAATGTTTCTTAGATAAAAGTAACTATTTAATACAGTTTATTATGCAATGTGTTGATTTGCATATTGATTTTTGTTAATTTAACATGACTATATACAAGTACTTGTTATTTTTTGTAGTACAATGTAATTACAAAACCTTTCCAGACAAACATGTACTAGTATAACTAATTCTTTGATGCTTAATTCATTTTTATGACATTGTGATAAACATTATCTTATTTAAGTAAATGTAGTGTATAAGGTATGTCAGTAGTGTGATGTTTAAAGTCTATGATCTTTTTGGTAAAAGTATAGGTGGATGTTGGGAGTTCTGGAATTTGTTTATGCAAAATGAAATCCCTTATTCTTATTTTTGTCAAGTTTAATGAATTGTTATTAAAAATGTTAGTTGAATACATTTCTCGTTTGTTCACTTTGAGCATTCGAAGTCTTTTTATGTTAAATACATAAAATAGTACTTGTCTTTGAAAAATTAACATTTTTCTGTGAATTCAAAATAATATAAACTTAGAGGTTTTTTCTCATTTATAGTTTCTGATAGAGTTAATAGGATTTTATTTAAAATATTTTTCTGTAAAGTACATATTGTGAGTGGAGTCCATTAGACATCTTAAGTTCCCAGGTATCTGATTTTGAACATAAAAACAACTTTTTTACATTAAAATCCGTTTTTTACCACTTTTAGCTAAAAAAATAGTTTCTATTCACATGATAAAGATCATTTCTGATGTATTTGTATTAAAAATCCATATTTTATTTCTTTGATTATATTTACAGAAGAAAAAATTATTAAAAATTTCCAGAATCAGTGAAAATTGTGTTATTTTTGTATTGACCCCAAAATGGCTTAAAAGTGGTTTATTCGTCAAAATATGTCTGAAAAGGGGTGATTCAATCAAAATTCTTTTAATATTTATAATATTTTGTCCATTATGGTTGGGGCATATTTAGGGTCTTAATGCCCCTGATTCTTTCCGTCAGATGGAAGGTTAAATAGTTCCCTATGTTAAGGTTTACAACTACATGTCCATGTATTTTGCATGCAACAGATATAGATTACCCGTCGATAATGGCTGAAACCTTGCCGACTCGGCGTTCAGCAAAAATCAATCAATCAATGATCTGTATACTGTTTAAAATGATATTCTATTAATTTTACTTATTTATTTTTGTACATTATGGATAATAGAAATTTGATAAAAAGACGATCGGTCTTTATTGGGAGGGGGGGGGATAATGAAGGCACAGTAGAATATGTCTGCAGTAGAAACAGTTTTAGGAAAAAAATGCTAATAAAATGAGCCATCTTTGAGACACAAGGCTAGTATCACACCGTGTTTGATTTCACGTTATCATTATATACAAATTGATGTGATTTTTTTTTTCCAATTTAACTTAAGAAAATTTATCGTAGCATGATTTTAGTTGTGATTTTATTGGCTGCATGGTTCATGTATTTTCTGTAAGAAACGAGGTATTTCTGAGATCGACCCCCTGTACATTTGGACTTGATCGCATTGGTTTCTTTATCCTTTACATGGGGATTACGTAAAATCAATTAAAGTGTGTTTACCAACTCGCATGCTTTGAGGATACAGGCTTTTTCAAACGTAAAATCAGCATACATGTAGATCTATATTTTGTTAATTGAAAGTTTAGTTGTTCATAGAAACGAATTTGTCGGTATGAAAGACAGAAAAGTAGAAATTAAAAATCTTCTTTTTTTGGGGGGGGGGGGGGTATTCGGTTTTTAAAGGATCTAAAATACAGTTTACACAGTTTTTGGGATTGTAGATTATGATCAACTATTTTTGTCATTAATTAAGCATTTTGTATAACTAAGACATGATGACCACTTGGATTGCTAATCGATGACAGGTGCCCCAACTGAAAAACTGAAGAAAAAACATGACGTCACAATTGAATCGTGAAAAAACTACGATATGCTCAGAGTTAATTTTGCAGACATACCAGTTCTAAAAAGTAATAACTTTGTTAAAAATGAAGATATTTTTATTCTGTTTTCAGTTTTTGTCGTGATTTTACATGGACCACTAAAATACACAAAAATCTCAAATTCGATAAATTTTGCCATAAGGTCGATTTCTATCCGACGAGGCTCATTTATTGTTCATGGTAATACAGTTTCTGTATACGTGTACGATTTTCTGAGCAGTAAACATCAAAGGATCAAGTTAATTAGAAGGTAACCACGAGTCCCAAACAAGATGAACAGGGTATATACAGAGATCAGTAACTAAATGTCAATCAAGTTCCATCATCCGATGATGGACCTTCATGCACTTGATTTACAGGGCTACCCAGACCAGGTATTTTTGAAGGCGGTGCTTAAAATCTCTGCCTTTAACTGGTAATATAGTTATACAGTCGCGGACAAATAGAATAGAAGCCAAAGCGTCCGGATAAACGATACTCACTGTATATATTTTTTGTTTCAAAGATTTGTAATATGAAAATATGATCCATATTTATTCAATAACTTAATAATTTCTCAAATAGCACTCAAATTAATTATCTTTCCCTTAGGTTATTTTGACTCAAGCCATTTAAAATGAAAATTTCGATATTCTCTGCCTTGATCCTTCAAGCAATGCTCTACAAATGCTATTCGGCACTATCCATAATTTGTTTTTTTTTTAAAGCTTACACAATTGGTTTCCTCATTTAACTTAATGTCTGAAGGATATTGTAATGTAATATCTATCTAATTTTTTAATTGTTCAAAACAATTTCGAGCACTGTTTTCCTTCTTTCCAGTCATATCTCTGTGAAATAAATTCAAATAACACATGAATGTAGAATTTGTTTTATCACGTGCCACAATTTCCGTGTCTTCATAAATAAATGGATAACTTCTTGCTTTGTGAGTGATCAAAATATCTAGAGGTACATTAAATCAACCAACTTATCAAACGGAATTCACAGAGTACACGAAACAAGACGTATACCTTGTATAACGAAATTACTCATAAAGCTGAATTCAAAATGGTCAAGTTCTTTATTGCTTATATCATTTGAAATTGTTTTTAAAAAATGGGAGAAAATATAATGGGTTTTGTATTGGATTCTTAATGAAATCATTAAAGCTAAAGGAATTGTTATTTTTTGTTCGACATTTTTTGTACTGCATTTTATTTAATTTGTTGTTACAATTGACAAAATAGAAATTCGTTATACCGGGGAGAGTCTAAACTTAAATAAGAGCAAGAGAAAAGAATGCAAGAAAATTTGTGATCACAATCTCGGGAGGTACAATTAAAGTTACCATAAATTAAGACTTTTAACTTGAAATATTACATTAGTCTGAAAAAATATTTTTTTTAAAAATAAGGATACGGTTTGTTTTTAATTGAACACAATTATATCAATTGGATCATTATCATCATTTTAACATTTAAGGCAGAGGACCAGTTTTCCCTTTTCCCTTTATTCATCAAATATATCCCAAAGCTGTAAAGTTAACATCTAACGTTCTAACGTTTTAACATCAAACATCCGAGGTAGCCTAGTGGTAGAGTGATCGCTTCGTGATCGGGAGTTCCGGTACGATTCTCGTTCCCGGCGCCGCGTCAAACCTAAGACATAAAAATAGGTAGTGACTGTTCCTTCGCCAAGCGCTCGGCAACAGAATTGAAAGTCACGGGTCTTTCGGATATCACCTTAAGGAGGCTGGCGGGTCAAAAATTAAATCTTAAATTAACCACCAGATTTAACTTATTTTTTTTAGATATGGTATATTAAGCTGTCAACTATCATTTGGCAAAGAAAAAATTGATATATTTTAGTTTAAAAATTTTATCATTTTGTGTATCTTTATATGGAGCTCTCCTTTTAAAGGAGATTGAAATAGTCTAAAAATGGCTGCCACCCCCTAGCCTCGTTAAAAACGTGAGTCCCGTGTCACGGTAGGCGCTGGCACGATAAAGAACCCTAACTGCTCAAAGGCTCTGAGTGCCAAGTATAGGTCTAAATTTGAAGCCCTTCGCTGGCATACGGGGACGTCTCCATACGAGTGAAAAATTCTCAAGAGGGACGGTAAACAATATACAATCAATCAATCAAAAAGTAATTTAAAATTATTAGTAACATTTTGTAATAATTTTTCTATTTTTAATCAACATGTTAAGAGGTACAAATGTTTTATTACTATTAACACATGCAACTTATGTTATCTTTACGTTCTTTTAGTAATTTTTAAGCATACTTAATGGATTGTATAAAAGTATAATTAACAAAAAACATTTTATGGATAAGTGGTGATTAGAAACTTGTAAGCATTCCTGACTGTTCGATAAAATGAAGAAATGTACTGAAATAAATATTCCTAACTGTTATTGATTTTTTTTTATTCTTTCTTTTGTTCCTTTAAATGTTTAGGTGTATAGTGTTAACCCATCACACTTCCGATTAAATAAGAGAGAAAAATAAAGTTTTGATTTTACTCTAATGTGTCTGATGTGATTTAGTTCCCCAATTCTTTCCTGTTTTACGTTCTACATAGGTCACGTGATTCATACAGAAAGATTATAGTAGATGTTTTGTAAGTCTTATTCCTTTCAAAGTTTTTGTTTGATGAAATTTTTTGATATAAGTTAATAATTAAACTAATTTCTCAGTAAGTATTTTAAATTGAACAACCAGATATATATTTCCTTGACATGACTTTTGACAGATATTCACTGCTGAACCATAGAATCAAATAATATGCGGAAACATATCTAAAAATAAAAACAAAAAT